GAACGCGACTTCTTCTGCTTCGTATAATTCTACTGAATTGAATCTATTTAATTGGTTTATTGATGCGTAGAAACTGCACCTAATAGAGTCCCCACGACTGCCAGCAGGTTTGCCCAGCTGTCCAGTTCTCCAGCTGTCAACAATGTATCGATCAGTTTTGAGTACGTGCTCGGGCGATTAGCTGGATATCGAAATGCTTCCTCATTGCCTAATTGGTGTGAAAATCTAATTCACGGATCGCTGCGCGCACTTGGAGAATCCATAACACCCCCAACCCCACCCTGCCCCTGCTCCTTTTCCAGTGGGCAAAAAATAAACATTACGTAGCAGCGCGGGTGGCAGAGGCGGCAGCAGCGACGTCGACGTACGCAAGTCACGCACACGAAATGGGCACGACAACAGCAACAACAACAACAACAACAATGAAGATTACATACGAATAAAAAAAACAAACAATGACCAACAACAGCAACAACAACAACGTGGACAGAAAACCAGAACGAGAACGAGATGCAAAAGAAAGCAACAAAGCAGCGACGTCGACAGCGGCAGAATATGAAAGTTGCGCATGCGCCGACGCGTCGCGACGCTGGTTCTAACCAGTGCTGCCATTTTTTTTTTTTTTTTTTTTAGCACAAAAAGCTAAACTTAGCTGGAAAGGAAGTGAAAAAGATTTAGCTGAATCGTGAAGTTAACACATCGGAGAATGTTTTTTTGAATGTATATTTATGTGAATTCAATTACACAATTGAAATGCAGAATAAAAGCTTTTCCAGGTTACAAAACCCTTACCGCAATCGGACTAGATATTTTATGGTATTTAGATATTTAAAAAGCTAGAATTCGCTCATACCAATGTTTTCAAGTACCTTACCCAATTGGACTGCTAAAAAGCCAGAGCAGAGAAAAAAGCTTAAATGCCTTCACTGGCGCTGGCGCTGAGGCCAACGTCAACGTCAGCGCCGACGTCGACGTCGATGTTATAGCTGTTGTTGCTGTCTTTTAATCAGTTGCGAAGCAGAAGCGCGCGAGCTAAGAACGTAGAATTTATTGAGCGCTTGTGAAATCTGTCGTGTCCAAACTCTAGAAGATTGTCTGAGATATGCTTTGGAAGAGCTCCAAGCAGCTGCCGCAGCTGCTGTTTTTTGTGCTGCTGATGCAGCTCGGCGCATCAGCGTTTGCTTCAAAGTCGTCCTATTTGCGCGACAGCACAACTGAAATGCCGTCCACTAGCAATCAAGGTCCAAGCCCGAGTCAGAGTCAGAGCCCCAGCCATAGTCAAAGTCAGACGCCAGCTACTGTAGCGGAGGAGCATTTTCCGGCTGTGGCGCCGCCGCAGGCAGCCGTTGAAGCGGAAACAGGTCTGCTGCAGCCACCGCTGTTGCCCATTGTGGAGGCAGAGGACGGACTGCGTCGCCGCGTAGTCACCTACGATCAGCGGCAGGAGGGACAGTATAACATACGTGGCGATCTGGAAAACTTCATGATACTCGTGATCCCATCCGCAACGCAGGACAGTTTCAGTCTCTTGGATCTTTTGAGCAAGTCCACCATGCGCGGCGGCTCGAAGACCAACAGCAAGCGTAAGCATGCCTCGGCCCTCAAATCCTTCTACCAGCGACAGCAGCTACAACAGCAGCAGCAGCAGCAGCAACAGCAGCAGGTACTGCAGTCGGGATTGCCAGGAGGTCTGCCCGAGTTTATTGAGGGACGCACGCCGTACCACGTGGACATCTCCGCCACCAATGAGGAGCTACTGCAGCAGCAGCAACAGCAGCATCCGCGTTTGCATCGCCAGCAGGTGGATGTGTTGCCACCTCAGCTGATTCCCATGCCGCAGCTGATCAAGCCATATCACCTGGAGGCGGAGCCGGAGCTTATACAGGCATTGCCCCCCGTCCCAGCCAGCAGCGGCAACAGCAACAATCTACTCGAAGGCTTTAACCAGGCGAGCTCTCAGTATTATCGCAATTCCCGCTCGCTGCGCGGCCAAAGCTTCCTGGAGACCAATCGCCTGGCTGGCGACTCCATGGCCAGCTCCAATGCCCGCGCCATTAGCGTGCCCCTGTACCGCAGCGATGTCGCCCGCAGCCAAACCCAACCGGACACTGCGAACGTCCTGTATCCGCCCATCGATGTGCCCGCCTACATAATTAACGAGGCACAGCCGCGTAATTGGCAACTGAGCGATGAGCCCACTCCGATACAGCCCAAGCATCTGATCGGTGGCGAGCCCCTGCTCAGCTTCGAGCTACTGGGCGATGCCCTGGCTGACTCCAAGACCCTATTGCGCGACGGCCTGGCCCGCTGTGCTCCGGGACAGCGACGCGACAGCTATGGCGCCTGCCGCCAGGTCGAGGGATACTGAGACTGAAACACTTTCCAGACTGCTCAACGAAAGCGCACACACATATGTATTAGGCTAAGCATCGCAATAGATGATTAGGCATTCGACTTAAGATTCACAGTTCATACACACACACACACATAATAAATTTAAAAATAAAAATAAATTAATTTAAATATTAAAACACAAAAATTGCATTTCAAACTTAAAAATATTTTATTGAATTAAATAACTATTAAAAAACATTGACAAGAAATTGAATTATTGAAGACGCCAATAAAATATTAAGAAATCGTACAAAAAAAAGTTTCAAATTAAAAAAGAACAACTAAAAATAATAATATTAATTGTTTAAATAAACTCACAAGATTTCATTCAAATCAAGCGCCCAGCCTTCATGAAGGACAATGTTAAGCTTAACATTTATGTAAGGGCAAAGGCGCATCGTGCTGTTAATTGCCAATGCTAACATTCATTCTGTCTGTTACATAGCAGCAGGAAGTCAGTGTGGGAGAGCATTAAATGCGAATCTAACGGGAGGGCAAATCGAATTGCTTATTATTGTTCTATGCATAACGGTACTCTTCATTGCTAACGTTATACTTTCATTGGTGCATTGAAACCGGAAGACGTGAAAAATGAATGTAACGGTAATGACGCGATCAAGGATAAGTCAAATTGAATGTGAAGTTCAGCTGTCATCAAGGGGGCCAGCAAAAACAGAAAAACTAAAATAAATTAATAGCGATGCATTAACTAAGGCCTGAGCCATCATTTTGCAACGTTGCAATTTTCAATTGAAAACCAGTTTTAAGCACACACACACACACCTTAATCTAGGAGATAGAAAGTGCAGCTTCTAGTTTCTGATAGCAGCATCTTCCTGTATGAATTGGCAAGAGAGTTAGTTGGGCGCATTCTCTGATGCCTGGTGCCTACTGGCTTACTCGATGGGTCAATGAACTCACACACTCTACTACAAGCAGCTCAAACAAGATGCCGTTACTTACAATAAACAACAAACCACAGCAGCTTTTTTTATTAGTAGCCAAAGTAATTAGAACGTTTTACAATGACTCGCGTTATTTTCCTCCAACAAATATATGTAGGTTATAATGCTAAGCTAGCTGGATGTGCTAAATATTACATACACATATGTATATATATAGTTATGTATGTATATACATTCTATATATTAAATACATAAATATCAATTAGTGCTACCCACATTATGATGGCAATTTTCTTTTGCATATGTACATATGTATGTGTGTACATAGCTCTGGCCAGGGGCGTGGCGCACTGGTAAATAATGTTTGGACGGGGCTGATACTCATTAGACTGCTGGCTAATTTGCCTTCTCAACTTTAAAAAATCACAAACTTAAAAAAATAAAAATGAAAATCATTTTACATTTATAGATGAAATTGATTAGCCAATTCATTTCAAGCAGATTGTTGACTCCAAGAATGGGGGATACTGGTGTCTCATCCCACACCCTGGGCTACTGGCTCTGGCATTGTTTAAACGCATCGAGCTGCGGTCAATGGCAGCCTCTAATCTAGGTTCTCACATTGCCATTACAATGCGGAAGTCTTTTGGCCATTGAACTGAGCATCTGTGTAGCACACAAGCGGGTTTTTCGTTACCCATATGCAACTGGGAAACTGGCGACGGGCTAAGGCTCATCTTATTTGCCAGGCTGTAGCTCTGGCTCATTCATCGTTCGCCGTCGGAGAGCAACGGTCCTGTCTGCGCAAAGAAACCGCTCAACTGAAATGTGCAAGTTCACCAATCGTTTATTTGTCCTGGCTTTGCTGCAATGCGTTGCCTTGGCCCTGCCAAAGCCGCTGAAGAGTCGTAGCAGTGCCACCGATTTAATTGATCTATTGTACAATGATTATGGCGACTATGGTTACCAGGTGGAGGAGGTTCACTACGACCAGCGGCAGAAGGGTTCGGAAAACTTACGTTGGCATCTAGATGGGTTTGTTTTCGGCTTACCAGTTCGCGAGGACTACTCCTGGATGGAACAGCTCTTTGAGACATATTCAAGTGAGCAAGGCCAATCGCAAGCAAAAACAAAATTTTACAAAAATGTATATATTTTAGACAGTCCACTGGCAGCCATACGAGAGCCAGTCGATACATATCCGACAGAATCTATAGGTAATAAAACAGATCAGACGACAGCTCAAGTGGTAAATATATCAACGCCGAAGAAGGACATCGAAAGTCGGCACAGCCCCAATTCTAAACTGTCCAGCGCACCACGGTTTGTATTTGTTATGGAAAGCTAACTAGAGCCTTATTTTTATTATTATTATTTTTTTACAGCACAAAATCAGAAATGGTGCAGCTTCTAAAATTGTTTCGACGTCCGCAAGCTTAAATTGATACTATATGAGACGTAGAATCGAATCTTTAAACTTTAAGTTATGGCAAATAAATAACAACTTTGAAAACAAACAAATGTGTATTTATAAATTAAACTTAGTTCAAATTAATTGTTGAGTAGTATCCGTTAGAAGATTATCTAAATCACAAAACGCAATATATGTGTTACAGAAAAGTACTGTACGACTAACAAGTCGCAGGAATAGTATAAAATCGGAGTTAATGGAGTTTGATATGGTATCCCAGCTTTTAGACAGCATCGACAAACACACAGAGAAAATTGTGAAACAAATATCATTGAATAATTTTAAAATTAGTGCGGATTTGCGGATTACAATTGGATATGAGATATATATGAAACATAGTCTTTCTGTTTCAATATATTGCAAACGAACTTTGAAAACTGCGCCAATTAATCACATCACAAGCATTTCAGGGCTGATACGATAAATCTATCGTTCAAAAATTCAAAAAAATTAGCCAACACTGTTAGCAGCACGATACAAAATCACGAATTTCGATTAATACTCATCATCGGTCATCTTAAGACCAGCTTGGCACTACTCTTCGTTTTGGCGAATCATTTCATAAACAAATAGGGTTCCGTGGAGTGATTTGCAGTATTTTTGTTCGTTCTACATCGAATATTCAAGAACCGTCGTGTCTAACTGCACGACGAACACGACCCAGTATAAAAGCCGAAGCTGCAGCCATTGCGGCTGTATACATAAAGAACAACTACGACGCAATAGACGACATCGAAGCAAATTGTGGAACAATAATCAGTAAATACATTCTCTTGCTGTCTACTTTGTCAAATTAAAAAATACAACAAAAAAGGAATAAAGTAAAACTACTTCAATATGTCGGAGAAATTGCTGAAAATCACTTACCACAATGCACCAGTTGGCGCAGGCAAGAAGCTGAATGCATATCTGCGAATGCCATCAAACAACTTTAGCATTCTGCATCGCGAAATTGACATGTACTTGTTCCAGGAGCGACAGCTGGCTAAATGCGAGCTAAGGACATATTGGATTGGTAAATATGTATACATACAAATGATAAAATAGACGAATCAACATGCGATATCAATTGTATGCACTCAAATGTGTCAATGTGTGCGTATGTGCGTGTGTGCTATGTAATCGAATGCTTGCGAGCTTGTGTGCGTGCGCATCTGTTTCCAAAGATGTATGTGTGTATGTAAACAGTTTCGAATGTGTGAGTGCATTTCGCAAGTATTTGTTCGGTAAATGGGAAAAGGCTAAAGTGCATTTGCCAACTCCTCGGTAAATTTCATAGGTACTCACTAAATATACGAATACATATACATATAAATATAGGCGACTGTCAGCCCTGTGTGATTCACAAAGTAATGCGTATCATTATCAATAGAATTGATAGCAACACAAAATGGCAGAACTTAATCCATCCAAATCAAATGACTCACGATATGTATATAATATGTACATTTTTTTGTTTTAATCAGTAGATTGAAAGAAGATCCGATATAGACTGTATAAACATACTCCTTTAATTTTGTTTACAAATACAAAATAAACAACTATATTTGATTCAAGTATTCCTGACTGGGCGATACACTCTTCTGCAGATTTTTTGACCAATTGAGAAATATGCAGTGGGGGTATTATTCAAGTATTGTACATGTATGTATGAATATATGTTGGGAGAAAATGAAGCTAACACCAGAAAACATGCACTTTAAGTAAAATACATACATATGTACATATATTAGCTCTTGATATCACGAAATAGTTAAATCTTTCATGAAATTAGTACATTCGCTTAGTCATTGACTTGTTATACAGACACTATTTTAATTCGAGCACGGAATTCTCAGTTTTTATATTACGCAATCTTAGGTAAACTAAACCTAATTTATATTTCTTGCAGATGCTGATGGTGATGAAATTGAAGTTTTCAATCAAAATGATTATGAAATTTTCTTGGTCAAATGCAAGGATAATATGCATTTGCAAATTGCAGCTGTTGACGATGGTAAGGCTGATGCCAAGCAGACATCAGCTGCTAAGCAAGCCGAGGACGATCCCAGCAATTTCGTCATCCATGATGGAGTCGAGTGCGATGGATGCGGCGTTCTACCATTGATCGGCTTTCGGTACAAGTGCATACAGTGCCCCAACTTTGATCTGTGCCAGGCCTGCGAGTCGGCTCACAAGCATGCCGATCACTTGATGGTCCGCATGCCCACCAACAGTGGACCGAGTGTGGTTGAGGCCTGGCTAAGTGGCCCCGGTGCCAGCTCGCATCATCATCGGCGTTCGAGCCGTCGCTCTCGCGATCAGTGCCCTTTTGCAGGGGCAACTGCAACTGCTACAACAACTACTAGTTCAGCACAGGCTACGCCAGCTGGTGCTGCTCCGTGCTGGACTCGTCGCGAAAGACGCCATGGTCGTCGGAATGGCAACGTATTCTCTCAATTCGTCGACATGATGATGCATTTGCCGGAGAGCAATGCAACGCCCACTGCGGCTGCCGAAACTCAGGAGGCACCAGAACCGGAGCCAAAAGAGAAGAAAACTGCAGTGAATAATGAAAAATCTGAAGGAACCCAGAAAACCGAGAAAGTAGAGGAGTCGACTGACGTTCCAATAAAGCAAAAGGAAGCAGCTTCAACTGAAGCAAGTGTTGAAGCAAATGCACAAGAGCCCGTGGCTGCTCCTCGCAGCCCCAAGGAGCAAGCCCAGACACAGGCAACTGCCACGCCCACTGCAAATAGCACACCAACAACACCCGTAATCAGTCTGGAAAATTTGGCACAGGTTGTCAATCCCGAGTATATGCGTGCCGGTATTGAAATCTTGAACAACTTTAGCGAAATGTTTGCTAAAATGATTGATCCCAGTGCAGCAGCTGATTTTGGCTGTGCCGAGACCTCCATGGCTTCAAATGGCTCAACGCCCTCTGAGAAGTCTGAGGCTGGCGCTGACACAGCACAGAATACAACCAAGCAACCAGCAGCATCGCCAACATTGAGTGTACCAGAGTTTCAAAAAAGCAATGGAGTACAGGCGTCAGCTCCAACTGCTGATGCAGCTACAACTACAACTGCTACTACAACTACGACCGCAACTGCAACTGAAACGGAAACTGTACAGACGGCACAGACGGCTAATACGCTGGCAGAGGAACGACGCCGATCGGAGAGCTTGGATCAGGATTGGCAAATGATTGATAACACGGCCTCGCCCATGGCCAATGTCTCTAGCTCGGATGCATTGATTAACTTGAGCAACACAAACGCGACCACAACTGATTCTCCGGTGACCCCAGCCCGTGATTTCGCGCAATTGGGTGAGATGTTGCGTCAGCACGTGAACGAGGAACAGCAACGGGAACTGGCAACTGCTCATACCCAAACCTCCCAGGTGAACACGGTCAGCACATCGACTTCGACCACAGCTGTGGCCACCAACAGCACCTCGACATCGACAGCGGGTAATCCCCCAGCCCCTGAGGAGAAGCGCCAGGTGCCCATCTATCATACTGGTGAGTAGAAATTTATACTCGATGTGATTCAATTTCATCCATAATTGTCATCCATTTCGTAGATGAACGCATCAATGCCGCAGTGCACGCGATGATGGCCATGGGCTTCAGCAATGAGGGAGCCTGGTTGACGCAGCTGTTGGACTCAGTGGAGGGCAACATACCGGCTGCATTGGACATTATGAATACATCGCAAAGTGGTCGCAATTGAGTCATTTTGTCGCATATTTATAAGTTCATTCATTTTATCTTCGACAATTAATATTAGCTTCGGGCATATTATGTCAATTGATGTTTATCTTCGGTGAAGTGTTTTCATTCGTTTTACGAAACGAATGATAATCAAGTATATAATCTATGTGTAAATGTATATGATGCAAATAATCAAAATATTGTTATCCCCATGGTATTGTGTATCAAAATAACAAATAAAAGCTATATAAATGTATGTATACGTATACTGAAAAATGATTTAATCAAATTATAATAATGGAAATTAACAACATTTAATTTCTCGCTAATCTAATGCCATACTTGTCTTATTATTAAGCTAACAATTTCTCGCGCGAATCTCCGAAATTCGTAGTTCATTGTTGTGATCAGCGCAATAAATGTAAACAGCTTGAGCAGCCGGACATGATGAGCTTTCCATTGGCGCCGAGCGAAGCCAGTGTTGTAGCTGAACATTTGCGAAGTCATCAGTGTTGCAAAGCTGCCGAGAGCGCAAAAGCGATGAACGAGCTGTAGCGACTTGCTTGTGTAGAAATATAACGGCAGGCCGCTGAGAACGCAGCACAGCAGCAGAGCGCACCCGACAATGCCTATGGAGAGATGGAGAGTGACCGGAATAGAGCGAGAGAGAGGGAATATGTAAATAGCCTGCTTGCATTTTAAGCGAGTGCCTTTGCACTTACCAGAGAATCCGTGATTACTGCGGAAGTGCCTAACCGTGGCATTTGGATCTTCGCGCTTGCGCTCTCGCTTCTGCAAAGTTTTGATGCCAACGCCGCCAACGCCAATGCCAAAGGCGAGTAGGCCAAGAGCACTGTGCAATAGATCCACATTAGATATGCCCAGCCAGAGCACCAAGATTCCACTGTGACGCACAAGCAGAGCTTCGCCCAGAAAGAAAACAAACTGACGGAGCAAACAAAATGTAAATATTCGAGAGCTACATATACATACATATGTAAATATATAGATGCATACATATGTACGTATGTATGTATGTACTTACAGCCACTGTACAATAGAAGGCATGCCCCGCTGTGTGCACCATCTTGAGGGAGACACATTTCTGTATTACGACAGCTGTGATGCCCGCTAGCAATAGGTGCGAGATCAAGGCACAGAAGCCAAAGTAAAACACGGCTGAGGATATATCGAAGCTGAAGGATTGGGATGCTGTGCCCTCGAGAAGCTGTCCACCCGTTACATTGACATCGGCGTGCTCCTTTAATGTCCGGACATAGGCCCATAGATCGGGATTCTCGCAAACATCGCGCAGCCCCATCGCACTGCAACCTGACATAACTGTGGTTGCCATAATTTCTGTGTTTTTCCGACTTTAACAAGTTTTATCTATTACGTGCGAGACGCGCGTTCGGCCGATAAGAAATTCGCTGACCGCGCGCTTCGACTGTCGAATAATGTTTGAAAGAACGCTGACAGAGCAGAGAGCGCAGAACAGCTGGGTGGATCACATCTCGGAGAGAAGTTTGTGTGCAAAAAAAATAAATAAATAAAAAATGTAAAATAAAATAAACTTTCAAAGCAAATGGAGCGTGACTCAGCGCTCTTGCACGTGCTTCACCTTGGACACCAGCCAGGTGCCGCTTGTCGGATTGGCATTGCTCGCATTCTGCTTCCATATTTATGTACATATGTATTATAATGTTATTTTCGGTACATTCTAAACCGGTTTGTATAATTAGCCGTCTGATTCGCTAACGGACTGCACTCTCTACGTCATTGACAACAGCTGACAGTCACAGTAACAGTCTGGTATTTGGTCCACTCTAAAACTGCTTCTATGATTCATACAAGTGTTTGTGTTATGAAGTGCAAGCTGAAAGCAACTGCTTGATAAACCAAGAACCACAAGAGAACTAACACAAAAGCAAAAGGTACGGCTAGGTAGACTTCGCTGAGCTCTATTTCGTAGAACCTTTTGTTCAATACCAAATTTGAAATTATTGTATATGATTGATATAGGTGCATACCTATGTAAAATAAATTAATAAAAATTAACTTCTATAATGAAAATAATGAGAAAAAAATAAATAGTCATTAAAATTAGATACATAAACTTTTAGTAAACGCATTTAGCTTTTTATCGAATTGAAGATTCCCACTTATAATACAGACGACGCATTATGGATTTAATGTCAGTGCGGGATGAATAGAATCAATGACGTTATTCGAGAGGGAATTCCCCAAGTCTGAGAGCAATGACAACTGAGAGAAAGAGAGAGAGAGAGGGAGAAAACATTGCTCAGTTCTTTATTGGTTTATATTGGCATGGTACGCCTGTTCTATGAGCACTCTTCATCGAGGCGTCTAAGCAGTAAAGCGCAGCAAGTGCATTCTTAAATAAAAAATCGCGTATTAAAAGTTTCATAATTTAATAAAAGGCTTCATTGATCAGCAAGTAAAATAGAATATTACCAAAAATATCTATCAAAAAGTTTACAGGTAATCCTAATATATGATTTACTTAAATTGTGCTTAGAATAATACATTGATTAAATATCAGTTTAATTAAATTTGATGCAATATACATATATAACAACAAATTTGCAGGTAAAAAATCGACGTAAATAGTAAATCTAATCTATAAAATGTGATTCATCGATTCCACAATTTTCTATGTTTGTATATAAGTATATGCATTTACTTGCATACACACATCCCATTCACAAAAACTAATTCACAAGTTTCCCTAATAGCTGATAAAAATGTAATGCATATATGTAGGTTACATATATAGAAATATGTACATATGTGTTCTTTGATAACTAAGCCTTTGTAGATAACTAATACAAGCGCATTCAGTAGATAAGTGGATATATGTATGCATTTAGGTAAATCATGTGATTTTCAACTTGAGAACAAGTAACGTGAATCGGGATTAAAGAAAAAATTTTTTAAATTAAAAAATTATTTTTGTAAATCGAAAATCCTTAGCAATCCTTGGAAATGATAGTATCAGCAAAGCCTTTTATGGATTTCGCAAGGTCTACCAAAGACTTGACGTGTAAAGGGTAAGTCAAAGTCTTCTGTGCAAGACCGGACTGACACGCCTAAGTTGACGTGTCTGATGATCCTCATATTCATATGCTCTTTACTCATGCATTTTATTCAATTAACTACGAAATATTTTTCACGCAGGCAGTACTACATCGTTGCCTCGGGAACCTTACGCGCTAATCGAGATTACAATGTGGCTGTCGCCGTGCACCACACCAAGGAGCCAGTTACCTTGAAGATTGGTATTACGGGACCTTCGTACAACGAAGCTCAAACAGTTGAGCTGTTAAATTCGGATGGCTTCCAGCAGATTACGTTCAAGTTGCCTGCTCTAACTTCGGGTGACTATCAGTTAACCGCAGAGGGTGTCGCTGGAATGGAGTTCAAGAGCTCCAAGGAGCTTTTCTTCGAAGAGTTTGAGCCCAGAGTAAAGTTGCAAACCGACAGGGGAAAGTACAAGCCGGGAGACATAGTAAACTACCGGATCGTTTTCTTGGATGAAGACCAAATGCCTAGCGCGGCACAGGATGATTTAGTTGTACGGTTCGACGACTCCAAACACACACTCATCGCGATGGTAAAGGACATAAAGACCCGTTGTGGAGTCTATACTGGAAAGCTTCAACTGTCCGAGCTTGCAGCGTTGGGCCTATGGACCCTTTCCGTTCAGAATGGTCGCACGGATGAGCGTGTCCAATTCGAGGTAGAGAAGCATGTTCTTCCAAGATACATCGTGAAAATGGATGCGAATCAACATGTCTCAGTCAAGGATGGCAACTTGTACGTTGCGGTAAGGGCCAAGTAAGTAGGTTTTACTTGTTTCCCCAGGGAAACCCATAAAATTCTCATTGCTTTATTACCAGATACGCCTATGGCAAACCAGTAAATGGCAAGGTATTGCTCAAAGTGCATAGGGAAAACTCAACTTGGTGGAGCCACACACTAATAAGGAATACTAGCCTGGTCAATGGCACTGCGAAATTTGATATAGATATTAAGGAACTGGACAATTTTTCGCAAGATAATTTCCGCTCGTTGCACTACAAGATTTTAGCCACTATTGAGGAAGACTTTACGGGCATTAAACTCAGTGAAAACACCAGCTTTCAACTACATGCCAATCGCTATAAAATGATCAGAATAGATTCGAAAGCGAAAAATGGGTTAGTATTTCAGATCACTTACGTTGATGGTACGTTGCTAAAGGACAACAAGAGCCTTGTCAAGGTAGGTCATTTGAAAAATATTTAATAACTAACGTTAACTTATAAACCAAAACTTTAGCTTAAGCTCTTCCCGGGCACGTATTATTCTGGACAGGGCACACAGAAAAGAGAAGAGAACAGTTATGCTGAATATGTGACCCAACTCAATGAGTCAAGTTTTGCTGTTTTTAAGGTGGCGTCAGAAGATTTACCAGAACCAGGAATCTATTGGGGTGGACATAACGGGGTGCTTCAGTTTGATGGGGAAGAGCAAACCGTAGACATAGATTCTCCCAGCGAGCCGCGCACGTGTGGGCATGCTTACATTATGCGTAAATTGTGGAGTGAACAGTTGCTCAGACTCAATGTGCAAAACCCTACGAAGAATGCGAGGTACTGTAAATCATTCTATTCGGCAAACGCTTAAGTGTCAACCCTATCGCAGGCTCCAAATCGGTGAGGTATATCAAGTAACTTTGGAGTCTAGGCGCCCCCTGAAGAATTTCGTGTACAATATCATTGGACGTGGAAATGTCCTGCAGACGCACCGAGTCGTGCTGAGTGAGCCACAGGAGGTCTATAGCATCACTCTGACACCCACATTCGAAATGCTTCCTGACGGTCACATATATGCCTACGAAGTGGACGAGACTGGGGCATTTCGCCATACCAAGACTGAATTTCATGTAGAAGTCCAGCTACCGAACCCGATTCAAATTAGCGCTCCACTTGAGGTTAGGCCAGGCTCAGATGTTGAGCTAGAGATTAAGACGGCGCCAGGATCATTCGTTGGCCTTATGGCGGTGGATCAAAGCGCTTGCCTTGGCGCCAACAACAGCGATATCAAGAATAACCCGTTCTCTTGCCTTGGGCGCTATGATATATGCCCAACTCGGCAACGGCTAGTTGGACTTGTGACTATGACAAATGCCGAATTCATTTATGATCGAATGGGCTTTTACCATCGAGAAGGTAATTCGATAATAACTGAGAGATGTTTCTCTCTCATGGCAATTGAATTTTCCCAGATGAAAATGAATTTTTTTTTGTGCAATTTATAGAAGACTTTTACAGTAGCTCGTCGACCCAGAGGACACGCGCAGCATCACCAGCAGCAACTGATCAGCCTCTACCGAATGTGCGGAGAAACTTTGCCGAAACGTGGCTATTCGAGGACATTGAAAGTACGGAAACGGAGACATTTAAGTTTGTCCGGAAAATTCCTGATACAATTACAAGCTGGGTGCTGTCGGCGTTTTCACTGCATCCCGAGAGGGGCTTGGGCGTGATCAATGACCAGCTGCAAATTAAGAGCTATCAGCCGTTCTTTGTGTCCGTGCGTCTGCCCTACTCGGTGAAGCGCGGAGAGGTGATCAATGTGCCCGCTCTGGTCTTCAACTACCTGCCCCATCAACTGGACGTGAAGGTGACTCTGAGCAATGAGGACAACGAGTACGATTTTGTGGATGTGTCCAGCGCAGCTCCTGGCGACTTCCAGAAGCGCACGAAGACACTGAAGGTGGGCGCGAATGCCGCAGTAGGCGCTTCCTTCTTCTTGCGTCCCAAAATCGTTGGCAGCATAATGCTGAAATTTACAGCCGTTTCGCCTCTTGCCGGAGATGCCGTGCTCAAGACCCTTAAGGTAGTGCCGGAAGGTGTGACGCAATATAGGAACCGGGCACTTTTCCTAAATTTGTCGGATGTGCACGAGCTCAAGGGCAGCTTTGAGCTGGATCTACCGGAGGACCTTGTGCCAGACTCGCAACATATTGAAATCGGTTTTGGCGGAAGTCTGCTAGGCCCGACCGTTAAGCACTTGGAGCGGTTGCTGCGCTTGCCCAGCGGCTGCGGCGAGCAGACCATGTCCAAACTTATGCCCAACTATCTGGTGCATGATTATCTGAAGCACATGAAGAAACTAACTCCAGAATTGGAGCATCGCATAAAACGAAATCTAGAGCAGGGCTATCAGAATATGCTTCACTACCGTCTCGACGATGGCAGCTACAGCTCGTTTGGACCAAGCCAGTGGCATGAGGAGGATCCCGAACGCAAAGGGTCCACCTGGCTGACGGCCTATGTGGTGCGTTCCTTCGGTCAGATAAGGGATTTGATAAAAGTGGACGAGAAACTACTAGAGAGTGGATATGAGTTTCTGCTCAGCCGCCAGGCTGAGAACGGAAGCTTCACGGAGAATGGCGACCATTTCTATGACGCGCAGCGTTCAGCCCTTACGATCACGGCCAACGTACTGCTGGCTCTACTTGAGCACCAAAAGCCCAGCCAATCGGCCATCGATCGGGCTGTGGCCTATCTGAATGCCCGCACGACTGAGGAGAATGGGGAAGGCCTGTTGCCCAGGGCCATTGCGACCTACGCTCTGCAGAGGGCAAAGTCCCCAGATGCCGCCAGGCATGTGGCTGCACTGCAGGCACTGGCCCAGCACGAGGCAGATCACACCTGGTGGACGGAAGATAAACTAAAGTTTTGTGCCAGTCAGAGCATTGAAATCACTTCGTATGCAGTGCTCTCGCTGCTGGAATCGGGCCAGGGGACTCTCGATTCACTGTTGTATTCGATTCGCTGGCTGGTGGCACAGCGGAACTCCTTTGGGGGCTTCGCTTCCTCGCAGGATACGGTGGCTGGCCTGCAGGCACTCATTCAGTTCGCCAAGAAGTTCGGCGAGGAGCCAGCTAAGTGGCACGTATCCGTCTCCAATCATGGACAGCTAGAAAAGACGGAGCAGCTCAGCCTGACCGAAGATAACGCATTGCTACTGCAAGCTGTGGAGTTCCCCCAAGGCACCAAGTCGCTGTCGTACGAGGTCAAGGGAACTGGCGTTGCTCTGCTACAAGTCAGCTATCAGTACAATGTTGTCACATGTGAGCCCAAGCCTAGCTTCAAGCTTCAAGCTATTGTTCAACCAGGATCGCCGGCAGCCAAGTTGGTGCTCAGCGTAAGCGTTGAGTATGTAGAGGAGGGCAAGGCTGAGGCTTCCAATATGGCCATACTGGAGGTCTCACTACCTTCCGGCTATACCGTGGAAGAGGACTGCTTCAAGGACATACAGCAAATCGATCGCGTCAGGGTAGGTATCAATTCATCACCTATCTGATGTACCAATCTCTATTTGTATATCAATTCTAACTACTTTGCGCAGCTGGTGGAGACCAAAAATGACGACTCTGTGCTGGTCATCTACTTTGAGAGCCTGCGTAAGGGAGATATGAAGTGCCTTCTCATCGAGGCATTTAAGAGCCATCATGTCGCATGTCTAAGGCCCGCCCCGATTGTCCTCTATGACTACTACGATACGAATAAGAAGGCAACAGAGTACTACGAAGTAGAATCACAACTATGGAACATTTGTGAGGGATTTGACCTTGCGGGCGAGAGCTAAATACGATAGTTGAGAGAAAAACTTGTATGAATGCATACAAACAAAATACATATTATTGAAACGTATAAAAAGTATAAAATATTCATGAATGTATTATAAATAATAAAATACATATAAAAGGTGCAACAAGTTAAGAGCTAAATAAGGAAAAATTCATTGAAATTCTGCCTATGTAGCTTAAACTTAGTGCAAAACATGTAAGAGTGAGCTAGGTGAGATTGCTCGGCTAGGAGATACTCTGCTAGGGGATACATTGCTATCTACATCTTAATCAAAATCAAAAATATATATATGCTCTATTGTGATCTATCATACCGACTACTGCCTGAGATAGCCTGAGATAGGTTTTTTATAACAAATCAAATCAAATCTAATGAGCGACCTGGTAAGACCCTTGAAAATCATTGTCAACATATACCGAGTATAATTAATTACGCAAACGCCATTAATATATATTTTGCAAAGATTCAATGTGTGACATAACGAAGTTAAAAATGCACTTTTAATTTGAAATTTGAAATGTTTGTTCGCTGTTTGAATGGCTGCACCACTCATGGCATCACTCATACGCCACGTGCCCGCAGCGCTTGTCATTCGCAGCTCTAACACGGAAATGAAACTTTAATTATATTTATGGTAAACGTCAGTAGCAGATGGCAGACATTGCTTGAGGTATCTGGCTCTCTGCTTGTCTCTGCCTCTCCCTCTCTCTATATATATCTGTCTCTCCCTATCTCAGGCAGTATGATGATGGGATTGCATAAAAATGAGCCATTGCAGCTGCATTCCATTCCGGTGATCCATCCACCCTGGTTAGCAGTCGAGAGCAACTGCTTATTGCTCTAGCCTCGTTGCTCAACAATTTAATGACTTTTGGCAATTTCCCCTAAGCACAGCCCCGCTTACTCGATTACGTTTGGCTGCAAGCTGGCGTCGACTCATTCTCCTCGACTTCCGTTCAAGGAGATTTCAGCTGCTGTTGAGATGCCTTCAGAGACTTTCCAATGCTTTCTTAAATTTTGTTAATGCATAATATGAAGTCACATGAGACTTTTCTTCAGGTTCGTTATCCACTTTTGGTTTCTTCCAATTTATTTTAGCTTGAATTTCTATCGATTTGAATTGATTGCATTGTATCTGTGGACGTATCACAGGCACTTGGCATCGCCTTGCATTGAGCTATAAATAAAACTTTGGTCATAAAAAAGGGAGTTATAAAATCGTCAGCTTAATTGGCAAAATCCCAATGCCTTAAAAACCCTTCCCAAGCACAGGCAGGCAGAGCAGTCAAGCAGCCGGCAGGCATTCAACTGGCATGATTTAACATGAGAGATACCCTGTAGCAAAATCAAAAAATTTAAATTGTTAATTTTAGATTTTATTTTTCATTTTATTTATTTTTTAAGTTTTGTAATTCTTATTTTCTTGACGAATAAAAATGTCAGTACATCAGTAACTTCACCAAATATTTTTATTAATTATATAGAGAGTATATAAATTAATATTATATATTATAAAATAGTTCTCAAATTTTAATTTGATTATTAATTGATTTACTTATTACATTTTTTGTATTTATTAATTATTGAAACTTTTATGGGCGCACTATAATATATATTTTATACAAATACCAGAAAATTTTAGAAAACTTTCTTAATATTTATATAATAACATTTATTTAAATGGAAATGTTAGAAAAGCCTTCGCAATTTATATACCCGCAGCCATTTGCTGCCTGCACACATTTACAGGGTATGAAAATGGCATTTTAATTTTCGAATGAGCCCATTAAATAGAAAAGGCATCGAAGGGACCCCCGCACTTATTTGGCCATAAATTCAGCGGCTTCTTTCTCTCTTAGTAATTGGAGCTCATAGATTTGTGCAAAATTTGTGGTCACATTTCATTTAATTTGTCGTCATTGAATATGAAATTTTGTGGTCTTTTTTTTTGTCCAGTTTTAGGCTGCAATTGCTGTAGAATTTATTGTTACAAATATTACGCCAGTGGAAAATGTATTTGGCTAATGTGAATCTTGGCTTGAAGCGTTGCCCTGGCTCAGTGTCCGGCTAATGGCTTGACTTGTTTTGGCATTGCCTTTACGGTTCGTTGGCGTTCGTTCGTAACGTTGATTGCCGTTTAGGATACTTTGAAGTTTTTATTCTCTTTTTGTTTTGGCAAGTGCCAGAGAGCATATTAGTTACGGATTTTCGAATTGCATATATGTATATATAGAGAGAAAGAGAGAGAGAGAGAGAGAGAGAAAGAGAGAGAGAGAGAGAGAGAGAGAGAGAGAGAGAGAGAGAGAGAGAGAGAAAGAGAGAGAGAGATAGAGTCAGGGAACGATTGGGTTTTCGTTTTATTTTCATTTAATATGCTTTTTATGCGTGCTTAACAATTACTTTGATTTCAGCAAATGTCTAGACCTCAGATGTATGGGTCTGATGGGATTGTATATTAATGGATTCTTAGTATATTATTTTTGTTTTTATTTATTTTTTCGTTTTTAGCGAGGTCGTTTACCCAACTCAATCCAGTTAACAATAATAATTTGATCGGACAACGCATCGTATACGCAATATTAATCATTTTACTCTGACGAGTTTATTTGCGTCATTCATAATAAACATGAAAGCGCTTAAACCTTTTTTTGTTATGCTCGTTCACGACGTGAAAGGAGTATAATGGTTTTTAACAACGCACGTTTTATCTAAAAGACATAGCTACGTCCGTGAGTATATCTCTCTCTCTTTGAAAATCTACTATAAATAATTTAACTCTTCGTCCATTCAGAACGAGTATTATGCAATCGCTGACGCCCAACTGCAACATGTTTGCTTGTTTTTGCTCGGGCTCGTCGACAAACAAACTGAAACTCAATACTGATTGATTAGATTTCACATGAAGTCCATCGGGTCAATCCCTTCAGTAGCTGGCTCTGCTGATCGCCATTGAAACTGTAAAACTATGTCCGACAACTCACACGACGACTACTACATATAGAGCAATAAATGGTAAACACATGTTCGCTTTTCAGACCAACCAATCTTAATGAATTAGTGCTGACAGCTGCCAAAGTCAACATTGCTCAAGCTTTTCCATTCACTTTAAGATTTAAGTTTTGGCCAGTTTGATTTCTAGATCAATTATCTGCTCTTTTAAAGTCAGTTCATAACACACAAATTCCTAGTCAGCTTAAACAAAAATATATATATTTGTATGTTTATTTTTTGAAATGCTTACAGCAAATTGTATATTGTTTTTAGTCGTTGGCTGTGTTGTGAACGTAAGTTCTAGGCTTAAGCATTTCAATTGCTCAAAATTCCCTAAACAGATTTAATTAGTTTTTGTATGTGGACCATGTAAGTGCATTTCCAACCCAAAAACCTGGAAGGTCGACTGACAATCAAAATGATCCTGGAAGTGCTCAAAGCTTACCTTTAATGGAAGACCTCCCAAAACCTGAAGTTTCTTTGAATCGAAGCTTATTTCCAATGAAGGACATGGAACTAGTTACGAATTTTAGTAATTATAGCTTATTTCTGGTAAAAAGTGTCAAAGGAGTGGAAAATGACAGCAAGCAACATTCATTGCCAATGGAAGGTGTAAGAAATGCTGACAAGGTTTATCCAAAGGAAAAATTACTTCCAGATGAAGACATGGAAATAGTAAGGTCTTACAAAAATGAAAGATTTCTTCCACCGGATGGCAAAAAACAAGTGGTATCAATGGAAGGTAAACAAAATACTGGCAAGCTTAATCAAATTAAAAGTTTACTTCCAATGGAAGCTATGGAAATTGTAAAGTCTTATAAAAATGAAAGATTTCCAATGGAAACCGAAAAGCCACTGGAATATAAAAACAATCCACACGATGTCAAGACCCTTCAAATCGAAACATTACTTCCAATGGAAGACATGGAAGTTATGGGGTCTCATAAAAGTGAAATATCACTTCCAATAGAAGGCACAAAGCAAGTAGATAATACAAATAGTAACCAAATATCAATGGAAGACGCTCAAAATACTAACGAAGTAAATCAAATTGAAAGTTTGCTTCCACTGGATGATATGGATACAGCAGAGTCAGCAAAAATCGCCAGAATTTTTCCAAGAAAACTTAAGAAAAGAATCAAAAGTAAAAAAAATCACAAAAATAATATGTTCCTTTTACATCACGCCCTCAAGAATCGAAAAAATACACATAGTCCACTATATAATCGATCTAAAATGATTGAATCCTTACGACCCACTAGTAAGGGTAATGGAGAGTCTGGCTCAACAATCAACTATATCAAAATACAACCGAAAGATAACTCGGATACACCTAGAGAAAAGTTCGAAAAGTTTCCGAATCTGTTAGCCGTGAACGATAAGAAGGACTTTAAGCAAATGATTTTAGAAATCAATGAACGGGGTGGTGCGACCAAGGCAAATTTATTGCTAGGGGACAATGCGCCAATGAACTATTATCCTGGGTAATTATTTCTTAACCACGCACACATTTGTAATTCTCTTGCTCAGAGCGTATTCTGTTCTGTTGCATAAGCTCCACAGCTTTGGATCGTAACAGACTAAAGCTGAGTGGATTTGTGGACGGTGTAGTGAGTGCTTTCGCAATGTTAGAGCTCATTGAGTTACCTTATTATGCTCAGTATATCGAGGGGACTGCAACATTAGAAAGAAATTGTATTCTGAGTAATAAAAAGGCTCCACAGGTTGCATCGTAAAAGGGCAAAACTGTGCACTCCCACATTCATGTGTTTGCTCAATTAGTCAGTAATTGTACCCAGGTTCCACAGACTGACTGCATCGTATCGATCTGCTCTCGGGCGCCTTTGTGTATGAAGAGCTAAGAGCTTTACTAACACATATTAGAGCTAAGAGCCTACACACAAACATACTCCACACATATATATAAATGCAATGTAATTCACTCGATTCTCTGCTGTGAACAGTGGCATGAGAGGACCGTAAATAATGAGGATGAGAGTGCGTGGGCGAGCTCTATTGGTTGAATTTTTGCAATAATTGCAGTTTATTTATTTATTTTATGGATTGAAAACCAAATTTTTTCATTTTCAGTAAGCATTTGGAATCTGTATGCATTGGCCATTCCACCATATATAACAAGCCCGTAGTAATGGATTGGCTGGAACCGAAAATATATTCGGCCTACAGATCCGATTCCGCCCAATGGACCGGTCCCGAGGCATATAGCATGTGGGTTGCTTTCAGATATAACCTCTTCAAAAACGGCAGATCTGAGGAATGCCACAAAATAGCATTCAACACGTGTAGGTCCTATCTGGAATGTGCCTTGATGCGCAACCAACGCATGGAGTTCTTAATACCAAAATATCCTCTTCATCAATTGGGATACGCCTTTGTGCATAGGAAGAGTATAAATGAGGACCTCTATAACAGCTATACAACGTATAAGCCAAAATTGTAACATTAAACTAATATTAATAAATTATGTGTAATATAAAAACAACATTTTTGAAATGTGTGTTTAGTTTATATATTCTAGGTATATTAGTTTGGGAAAATCTATGTGAGAGCCGAACTCTTAAATCACATATTCTTTATCAAGTCAACGAGCTAAGTCGATCTAGTCATAGTCGACTCTTGGCTCCACAAGCAGAGTTCATTTTTATTATTCTTATATCTATACTGTATATATGTATATCCTATCTATATATATCCACAACATAAATAGCTTGAAGACGCCATTAGACCATGAGTAACTTGATTAAAGGTAATTATACAAACATGTTGCCTGATTCGCCCCACCCAATCGAAATATTTACTGATATATTGGTATTGGGTTTCGCTATAAACAATGTGTGTTCGCCCTTATACCTGTCGGCTAACAGATTGTCCCCACATCTTTGTTTACTCAAGCATCGAGTGACACCGACACTTTGACATCGAACCCATTAATTACATTGTCAATAGATGGAGATTGCGTTGGTAATGCAATTTATGAGTGTAAGACCGTTGTGAATTGTCGGGGTGCAATTCAATTACCTTTAACATTGATGGCAAATGGATTTCTAATATTGATTTTGGACAAATTGTATTGAAATTCACTGCATTTACTTGATTATTAACTTGATTAATTTAGGGTAATTTAAACTAAAACTTTCCGCCTTTTCGAACTATAAATACTTCGCGATCAAAATTAGTTTAGAATATATCATTTATACTTAAATAAAAATTGAAACAAAAATACATACATACATAAATATATATTCATATAAAAATACAATACATACTATCACACATACCTCCACGTATATTGAGGTCTATCGAAAAAACCAAAAGCCCAAGCCTCAATAAATGGCTTCGAGAGCACACATACACGCGCGTCTACAAAATCCGGCGGAGAGCTGATATAAACCGTTATCCTCTGGTGCATACATTAAAGTATCAATGGCTTACAGGAACATGAACACACACACATACACATACACATACACATATTGGTATGTATATATGTGCGTGTGTGCATAGCTCACTTATTTGACCCGGGACACATGTTCAAATTGAAAACCAATGCGCCGCGCATTTACGAGCTTAGCAAGTGAAGCCGTCAAAAACGTATGTTCAGCCACAATTTAAAAGTCGCTGTCAAACTGTGCGCGATGCGTGCCAAAGTCGTTTGTAAATATTTGAGCAACATAAATGGATAACTTTTGCATAAATAATGAGCGCACATGAGTGCACAGCCGGCTAGCTAGAGATTTTTGTTGTTATACATATACACATATGTATATTTATTTATATATACGCATACACATGTGTATATGCATAGTGCAAACAATATAGTTGTAGATATGCCTATGCGATATATCAATTTATTTGAGTGGAAAATATATTCAAATATAAGGAAAGTAAATGTAATATTTTATACTGCAGCCATGTCGAGTATTGACTTTATTTGTGTATTTTCTTATACTTAGCGGCTATTATAGATTATAATCGAATGGCAAATCTTATTAAATATATTAAGAGCTACAAGCTATCAATAATTTAATCAGTTGAAATAATAGTCTTTTATTTATAGTGAAAATAATGATATATGCAGATAAATGATTTATGTTTATAATATAATTGAATAATGTGTATATATTGCTGGTATATAGACAGAATATTTATTTAAATAAATATTAATTGATATATACTTTAGAGAGCCTTAAGACTATTCAGTTCAAGAGACTAAGAAAATATATGATAGATACAGCAACCTAGTCATAATTTCAAATAATATTTCACAGTCAAATAGTTTTCTAGTATCATAAAGAATCAATTATTGCGTTGAGCAGCTTAAGCAAAAAAAAAAAAAAAACATTAAATTGCGTATACGCAGTGTGTGTGTCAGAAAATGGATTTTTGGCATTAAAAAATGTTTGGCAGAACAAATTGATAAATACCATAAAAATGAATGTATGTGTAAAAGTGTGCGTGAAAGAGAGGCCGAGATGCGTTATAGAGAATGAGAGAGAGAGAGAGAGAGATACTGGAATGTGGCGTGTGGCTTTTGTGGCGCTGTGTCTAGTGTTTGCGGTTTAATTTCTGGGGATTTGAGCTAATGCTCTAAGTAGCACACAAAATTATAGGCATATGTATGTGTGGCAGTTTAAGTGTATACATATATAAGTATGTGTGCTATCAAGCATTAGCTATAATTTACGATTGCAATTGAATGGAAAAGCAAATGCTTTCCAATCTGAAATCTGGAAATCAGCACTTTAACGATAACTTTTTGTGTAGAAATCCTAAGGGAAGAGAATCAATTAAATATCAATCTTTGAGGGAAATGATTTAATAATAATTATAAGAATTGTATTAAATATAATAGTAGTAAACAGTAAGGGATAGTAATAAAACAGAACAATTAATAATTAAATATCAAACTCCGAATAATAAAACATTTTTAATCGCCATTTCTTTTTTATTTACATTTTGAGGTCATTAATTTGCATCATTTATATTTTGGGTTGCAGTCTGACGATTCCTGAAAATATTTATAGTATTAAATATTTGAAAGTACGAATTTTATAATTGATATATTAATGTCATAATTGAAAGCTAATTAATATGCTCGCCTAAGGCTACAGCTGCAACTGTCGTTGAATGCTATTAAATGTGTTGCATACATATGTACATATATTTGTCTAATGAATACAGACCAGTGCTTAGGGCAACAATGTTGTGGAATTGCTTTATGTATTGCTATTACATTTTGTTGTACTATTAAAGCAGAGATAGCATTTAAAGAGTACACTGCAGTGAATAACCAAACAAATCAGCTTAATGGCTAAACCTTTCTAAAAAAGATATTTTAATTAGTTAAGAGTTGCTAGAGAAGCGTTAGGTATTTTTAGCAGATCAACAGAACTACTTTTGTTAATAAGTTAGTTGGGTCTCAACTGCAAATTTCTTATTTGCAAGTGTGAAAACGAAAATCAATGAATACTTTTTTAAACTATGGCAAATACTAAATGTTTGCGATTTCAATTTCAATTACTTGTTATTTATTGAGCTCAAGGAAAGTTTTCATTGAATTGTGGTCATTGGGTCATTGAAATCCCAGGACCCAATGATGTCAATTAATATCAAATATGTCACATCAATTTGCGCTAGTCCAAAAGGAGGCCGAAATGTTTAGACAGGTTGACCAGAGTTTGGCCACAACGACAGCTATCGCCATTTAATGCCTTTTTTATGAGGCGGCTAGGCGGTGTAACGTAATCAGTGAATCAACGCACATAACTGAGAGCGAGAGAGAGAGAGAGAGAGAGAGAGAGGGACATTGTGTGCGTGTGAGTAGTAGAGTTTGCCAAAATTCGATTCAGTGAGCGATACACATACACCACAAATAGAATCCAGCTCAAGCGCCGCCCCATCGATTCAATCAGACATTGTGTCCATAGGGCCTCGTATGTGTGTGTGTGTATGTGTGAACTCGCCTTGGACTGGGGCGTTGATGTGTCTATTTAATATGCAGTGCCAAACTCAAATTAAAACTCGACACATATACACAAACACACACGCACACCACACCAACACGTAATAACAACGTGACAACAACTAACTGTTATTGTGTTTGTGTTTGCTGTTATTAGATTTCCCGTTCCTGACAAACTTCACTTAACGCCAGTGCACTGGCAGAAGCTCAAACCGTGCATGAATGTGAGGGAGCGCGCATGTTTGTGTGTGGGCTCCTCTCTGTACAACTATGATTAGATAGAAAATTGTGGAGCATTAAAACCGCAACTAATTGGCAACGCTTAAAGCCAATGCTCTGTCAAAGTTTTAGCTCAAAAGTCGAATAAAGTACCTGAATTCATATATACGCACATGCATGCATAGATTACATATCTATAAAATAATCACTTTATAAGTACATATGAATTTGTTATATATAAATATGTATGTATGAAATACTCGCTCATAAACTTTTCCACAAACCCATGTGCTCAAAACTAATTTTAATTAGCTCTAATGCAGCCACGCACAAAAATGAACAGCAAACTCATGATGTTCATGGCGAAATAAAAATAGGTATGTGTATTTCCTGTGCTAGAGCAAAAGCTCGCAATAATAATGCAGTAACCAAAATAGTTATTTAGCATAATGCAAAAGAGCGAAATAGTCACTCAGTTAAAAAGTTCCACTCTCTTATTACTCATACGATGCATTCCACACTGCACTGATCCGTTATCCCTTGTACGAGCGAGAGAGAATACTCGTGTGTGTGTCTATTATGAAAGCACTCTAATTAAATTCCACAAATGCGTTGATCCCAACTACACCCTGAATATTCTGTAAGATAATTACTTACTCAGAGCAGGACAATACACGTATGCATGTGTACATATATATGTAGGCTCACCTTCAGCTTTACTCTACATATACATATGTATATATGTAAATTTACATACATACATATATATATAAAATATAACTATAAGCCATAACAAGTGTATGTTCTTTATAAAATAATAATTAGCTAAGTGCATCTTTACAATAGGATATATGCATTATTTATTTAATTGTTACAGAGAATAAAAATTTAGTTTAAGGCCAGGGCAATAAAAGCCTTCAGGCAGATTATAAAAATCTAAATATACCTAATAGAAAAATATTAATTAATATTGAACGCTGAGAGCCTCGAGCGAATTGTCATATTGCAACAAAGGCAAAATCTTCAATACACACATACATATGTATTATGCACATACATATATGTTATTTAAATATGCGGCATGGAGTTTTCGTATGTATGAAGCTCATTTTATATACATACATATACTCATATGCGAGAAATTCATATCTATATAAAGATCTAGCAATTCCTACAACAGCAAAAGAGACTGGCCGACACAGTTGAGAAACAATAATCTGAAGCACTCGCAAATAAAGCGAAATTTCACGAACAACTGA